GGTTTCTCTGTCCTGGAACTAGCTCTGTAGACCAGGCTGGCCTCGAACTCCCAGAGATCTATCTGCCTGAATCTGCCTCCCTTAGTGCTAGGATGAAAGGCATGAGCCTCCATCACCCATGGTAATTTGAGTTTTCACTTAATATTATCAGTTAAAACATGGATTACTCGTTCTTTGTTACTAGATAAGCTCTGAGGCAGATGTTCCTGCCGATACTGTTGAATCTTCATCCCCTGGCAAAACCCTTTGTTTCTCCAGTGCTGTCACCCATTCTCATTTCGAGACAGTTACTCAAGCCGTTCCCCTAACTCCTGGATCCACTTCTGGTTCTTCTTAAATGTAGATTGAAGTCCTCTTCATATGAAGCTTCTTGTTCTATTTCCTCCAGAATTTCTACAAATTTCTAAAATTGCTTCATTTATTAATTTAATTACAAATTTTCTTCCATCCCTCCAAACCTAATGCTGGATGCACAGGGCCAGGGACAGTTTTATAGTAGGTTTTAGCATCTAGAGAACAACTTGGCTTCTGGAAGGTTCTGTATCTTTATTCCTTTGCCTAGATTCAATGTGTAATACCAACCGCTCTGCACTGGAAGGTCTTCACAAGCAGAGCTGTGACTTTATTGCTGGTCACCATTTGGAATGGAATGTGCTGGATGAACTCTTTGGATGGTCCCAGCCTCTGGTTCTAAAGTCTGGACAGTATGACAGAAGTGGTACCACGAGGGGATTAAGGCAGCGTAGTTACCTCTGCCAGTGACGCATCTGCTGTGACTCTTGCATGCCACTGGATACATGAGCTGACTCTCTTCACTCTGTTGGCATTGGGTTGACATAGCAGTGAACCAGGTCAATGTCTCTCTTTCTTCTAGGCTCATGAACTTCACTGACTATATATTTGACTTTTTCGTCCATTCGGATACCGTACACCTAAGAATTCCTGCTTCTCTGACTTACGTTGGTAGATTTTAACCACCCAGGCTATAGATATGTGTCCAACATATTCACAGCCCAAGTCTGTTGAACCAAGTGTCCTTCAGATTTCCACAGGTGCTGCTAGAACCCCATGCATCTTCTTACATGATGTGTCTTGTGGAAACAGCCCCACTCTTTGGTTTTTCTCAGTGATCCAATTAACCAATACTTGCTAACAACCTGTACATCACAGCTTATCTACTGTCAAAATCATGTTAGACTTTGGCATGTGTGACAGAACACCTGCTTTACACAAACTAAATGAGGAAGTATGTTTGGGGGAATGTTATCAGAGGTGCATACCTTCCCACCTGGTCCCACAGCAACTTTTAATATAACCACTCAGAAGCTTGATATTAATTATAAAAGTTTGATTGATGGCTCAGGCTTATTATTAACTAGCTCTTATTATTTTTAATTAATCCATTTCTATTAGTTTATATGTTACTTGTGGCTCCTTCTGACTCCATCTTCTTTCTTCCTGTATTCTATTTGGCTCTCCTGCCTAGGTATATTCCACTCTACCACAAGCCAAAATATCTTCTTTATTATCCAATGATAATAAAACATATTCACAGAATACAGAAGGGCATCCCACATCACATCCTTGGGTGGGGGGGTCAGAGCAGAGAGAACTCCAGATCATGGAGGTCAGGAAAAAAACGAAAGAAAGCCTGCACTAAAGGGCTTTCCCTTTCTCCCCTTTTATTTCATCACAGGCCTTACTTAGTATGTGAAATGGTGCTAGCTGTGTTCAAGGTTGGTCAGTCCCTGCTAGTTCATCCTCTTCAGAGATGCCCCTCACACACACCTGGGGCCACACCTCTTCATAGGGTCAAGGTGATGAGATTGACCATCACAGTAGCTTGTCACGATCAGTGTAGACACTTCTGTCTCCCATGGAATTTGCAATTCCGTGTTATTTTTCTACTGAAGTTCCTATTTTTCTTTTTACTTTGATAAGAACTCCTTGCTCCCTCCATCCTGCATCTCTTTAGATGTCTCCCACACATATATGTCTTCTCTTGTGCTCATGTTCCTGGGGCAGAGAAATCCCTCTCAGAGCAGATCCTCCCTAAGATGCCCAGCATGGCTCTCGAGTACATCAACGCTTCCCTATTTGGCAAAAAGTGAACCATGTCTTTCCAACCACCTATGCGGCTCCTGGTTCTGGGGCTACTGTTTAAACAAATACCAGATTCTCTTACGCCACATGTAAAACTGGTTGTCTTCTCTTTGGGGAGGGAACTCCTGCCAGAGGTACTCCTGGAGGCTGGTAAGTAGAGCAAGAACTCTTATCTAGTGTGCAAAGTACATGGCATGATGTGTGGAATCCTGGGAACTGAATGACAGCTTCTGGCTGTCTTCTATAGTGAGGAAATTAAGTACAAAGAGCTCTCCTGGCCTGCATGTTGGAATGTAGAACAGACATGGAAGAACTAAGGCCTACATCTCAATAATCTTATTCTGAGTTTGAGGCTGGGTACTTGCCTTCTAGTTCCAGTGACTCAAGAGGCTGAGGCAAGGTTGCTTGACCCCAGAGTATGAGGCCAGCTTGGGGAACAGAGCGAGATCCCTTCTCACAGAAGAGGTGGTGATGAGCAAGAGAAAGAGGGGACACTTGGGTTAGTTGTTCACTCGGGAGACCATATTCATCACTATGAAGAAGACATAGGGCAACTAGGAATATGAGAGAGTTTCGGGGTGTAGGCTGCTTATGCCCCAGAGAATCCTGCCTCAGATCATTGCTGATTTACACAGTCGCATCAGCACAAAGCCTGGACTAGTGGGTAATCTATAAATGTCCTCAGTATTGCAAACAAGTCTCCATTGTAAGATTCCGTAAGCTCTGAAATAGTGCTGGAGTCACAGTGACAGTTTCTGCTCAAAGAGAGCAAATGGACTAGCTGGGGCACAAAATGGATTAGTAGCCAGTCTTTAATCTGAGATTCTAGAATGCCATCTAAAAATATGTGGACCAAAATAAAGTTCCATAGAGCCTTTTTCTATGCATTTTGTACATCAGTTAAACAAGGTTCCCTCGTTTTAAATTAAAAAAAAAATTCAGAGGTTCTGTGTCATGCCTCAGAAGATGCTGTGCGGAGTCACCTCAGGTTAAACCCGTGCATTGCCAGCTGTGAAGACAGGATGAGAAGAATAGCCTCAGGTTTCTGCGGAGCTTCATTAGGAAGCCTAAAAATAAGAATCAAGATGTGTCATATATTCCAAAACTGCTAAGGGAGAGTTAGAGACAAGGCTCAGTAGATGGGACTTGGTTTAGATCACCAGCACCTGTGCAAAGTCAGACATGATAGCACACGTGTAAGTGCAGACATGAGAGCGCGTGTGTAAGTGCAGACGTGATAGCGCGTGTGTAAGTGCAGACATGAGAGTGCGTGTGTAAGTGCAGACGTGAGAGCGCGTGTGGAAGGGCAGTATTTCTGCAACAAAACAGGGGTTGGAGAACTCTGTGGGAACGTGTGGGCCAGTGTTACACAGTGAGAACAAGAACCCTGTTCTGAAAAGGTGAACGGTGAGGTCGGAAACCTGAGGTTGTTCTCTGGCCTCCATAAATGTATCATGGCTTATGTGCACCCACATTCACACACGTGAACACACACACACAAACTTTAAAAATTGATAAAAATATATTATGTACATTCTTTTTGTTTATGTGGTTTTTGAACATTATTTCCATAAAACAGTAACAAGTTGGGAGGTTGGTGAGTGGACCCCCGTTATACACAGGACAAAGCATCACTCTGTATCTTATAGCCAAATGCAATCATTACTTGCCAATTAAAACTACTGAAAGCATTTTCAAAATTTAGAACTTTGTGGACTTAACAAGAATCAAAATACCAGGGCTTATGTAGACCCATAGATGGATCTCGGCATGAGCAAGCTCTTGTAAACCACAGGAGAGCTGCTTCTAGTGAGGAATCACGACAGCCTCATGGAGTCATTTCCCGAATGTTAACTTTGCAGAAATAACAATGAATGGGGATGAGAGCAGCTGGGGAAGGGATTGTCTCAGGAGCAATGAGACGAGCAAATGGGGAGAGGGGCTCAAGGCAGGGTAGTGTGTGGGTGTATAAAGGAAACAAGAAAAAGAATAGATGAACATTAACCCTGACTTAGTATTCAAACCCTTCGAGTTGTCTGAGACAGAGCACACCAGGCAGACATATGCCCCACCCCCACCAGCTCACTCTCTCAAATGCCATAAAGTGACTTCTCTAATTCTTTTCTAGAAAATGTGCAAAAAGGATTTTCATAGAGGTCTTTGGAGACTTCTTGTGTCCTCATGTGTGTAATAGGTTGGGTCACATAACAATAAAGGGAGAAGAAAGAGAGGGGGTGCTGGTTTCTGTATTTCCCTCCTCTGACCAGGGAGTGGAGTGGGGAATTAAAGAAATGAAAATGACAGCACACCAATGATGTCAGTGCTAAATTAAATTAAGATCATATGTTTGACTGTGGCAGCTGTAATCTTTTGATTATCTTGGAGATTGCTGGCAATGAAGCACATTTGTAAGGAATATTTTTAGTGTGCTCTGTGCACATAGCATGCGAGACAAACCTCTCCTAGATGACAGATTCAGAGAAGGCCCTCACCTAAATTCATCCTTTCCAAAGAGCTATGTATAGAAAGAACCGTGATACTTGAACTATTATAGCAGAACATTCTAATCTGCCTTATATTACCTTTGGTAATAGTCTCCATATTTTAAAATAATGCTGCAAACCATTCAATTATTTATTCACATCTACATTATATAAACAGAAGGATTTGGAGAATTGGGATGGTTTGATAAAAAAAAATTACGAAACTAAGACTTACTTCACTGTCATGGCTCAAAGAAATGGCCACAAAACAAGCCACGACACAGACAAAAATAGACCAAGCCAGAGTGAATCTTTAATAAACAAAAGATCAGATTATTAAAATGGTGAATTTTCATCTTCTCTGTGATGTGGATGTGGACAGGCTTCCTGCTCAGCGTGCCCCTCTCCCAATAGGTGCTGCGCAGGTACAGCGAGATTGCTACCAGCATGGATGATGATCTGAACCTGGGGAGAGCCTACGAGGCCATCGCCAAGGTCCTGCAGAGGTAAGTTAGCACAGCCTTGTCCTGCTGTCACTGTGGATTTACCCAGCTGTGAAAGACTTAAATTGTTTGAGGTCTGTCGCTTTCCATTACTGCCTGCTTAAATTTTAAGCAGTGCCCTTCTTAAGTGACCCTTTGATGGTAAGTTACTGTAAACCAGTGTGGTGTTTTAAAAAGACGCATCCAAAGTCGTCTTTGTCTGTCCCTCCATCGGGTTAGCTCCCTTTGTTTTCTGTGAGTTTAGTGATGACCTTGAATGAACCTGAGAAGGAAAAATTCAGGTCACATCTCTCATAGGTCAGGGATGCAGAGCCTGTACCAGGCACCGCACCTCAGTGCTGTGACCTGCCTAGCCTCTCCATTTACACTTCTGCCACACTTCTTTCATTAAGCAAACCTGGGTTAACAGTTGGGTGCAAACCAGCATTCCCAACATTTTATTTGAAACAGAAAACTTCATGAAAGCTTCTGAGAAGAGCTCTGGTACGATGGCCTTTGGTGGAAAACTTGGTGGTTGCCCCCCACTTATGGTATTGCAGCCACTGTGTGATCTAGTTCACCATTGTGTGTAAGCCACTCACTATACCAAAAGTCATCAAACACAGTCTTGGTTTTCAGTATGCTAGCCTAGAGCCAAAATATAGCCTGTTCACGTCACCATCATCATCATCATAGCAGGTATAAAATGTGCTACATTGTAACTTCTTTGTATTTATCTTCCATTGTAAATATACATAGGGCAGTCTGAAAAGGTGGGGGATGTTATTGAAAGACATTTAATGCTTATATACTGGATGAACTAAAAGTAGAATCATTGTATAAATATTACTAATATAGGAAACAATGCTTAAAATGCTGATACCAATAAATGGAAGGTGTTCTATAAAATATTAGTTAAAACCTAGTCACTATTGGGCAAATGCCTTAGAAGAAGGTATACAGATGAGAGTGTGGGTGCTTATTGGGGAGAGACAGGGCCAGCCAATCACACACAAGGAAAGCAAGCAAATAGACATGGTGACCAGTCCCCAGGAGACCAACCAGCTGACTCATGAAGCTCTAGCCTCTAAATAGCAGCTAAGATGCGATTGGTTAGAATTCAACTTAATATCTGTTTGGACTTATGGACCCTGTGCACTTCTTTGTCAAGTTCATTTCAACTACTAAACTACTTGCCTCTGGTGTATCATCATTGCTGTAAATCAGTAGAAAACAGTTGAGGTATTTTTTTGGGGGGGGGCTTGATGTTGGTGGGTGGTGGTTTTGTTTTTATTTACTTTTTGTTTTATTATTTATTATGTATGCATGTTTTAGTTGTGTGTATGCCTGTGGAACATATGCGTGCCTGAAGTCCACAGGAGCCAGAACAGGGAGAGATCAGTTCCCTGGAACTAAAGTTAGAGGTGGTTGACAGTCATCATGTGGGTACTGGGAATTGAACCTGGGTCCTCTAGAAGAGCGGTCAATGTTCTAACTGCTGAGCCATCCCTCCCTCCCCTAGAGAATAGTCAAATTCCTCCTATCACTTTGTAATGACAAGCCTGGTCTAAATTCACACAGGAATATTAAAGTGTCCTTCATGTGCTTATAAAGTCATTTTTACAAAGGGAGATTCCCATTGCATCCCGTATAGCTAAAGAGATTAAACTCTTGAGAGATTAATTCCCCTTTTCTGAGCATTTGCTGTGTCATGGGACACTTGACATTGGCTTCAAGTTATCTGCACAGGTTTGCTGTGCATGTCATCTGAAGATTTCCGGTCTCTACCTCAGATTCTGAGTTCTGGATCTGTCCAGTCAATGCTTGGGGAAAAGTTGAGTGGTGATCTGATAATTCTGACACAGAGTCTCTAGCGTGTCCAAGGTAGTAAGGCTGCGCAGTGTACGTGACAGGTCAGGTAGCAAGTTTTAATGAATGGGGAAAATACTTTCTTACATTCTTAGCAACGCTGCAGACAGAGCCCCAGGAATGGTCCTGTTGGGAAAGTGCTTGTTGTGAAAGCATAGAGACCCATGTTCAGATCTCCAGAGTCTACATTAAGGTCAGGAATGGTCGTACCTGCTCTAATCCTAGTGCTGCAGAGGTTAAGACAGGCATCTGCCCTGGGGCTTGCTGGAGAGCTAGTCTAAGATGAGTTCCAGGCTCTGTAAGAGACCCTGTCTCAAACTAAAATAGTGAGGAGATGCCAGCAATGGTGGCGAGCGCCTTTAATCCCAGCACCCGGGAGGGAGAGGCAGGTGGGGCTCTGTGAGTTTGGGTCCAGTCTGGTCTACAATGCTAGTTCCGGGACAGTCAGGGCTACACAGAAGAACACTATCTCAAAGAAAAAAAAATTGTGTGGAGAGAATCAAGAAAGACTCCTAATATCATCCTCTGGCACACACACAGACACACAGAGAGGCAGAAAGAGACAAAGAGAGACACAGAAAAGCAGATACACATTCTACTTTTATGCCAAATAAAACTTATAGTTCCACATAGAAATTGCTTTCTACTCAAATATAGTTAAGCCTTCAATGATTTGTGCATATGACAGACAAGAGTCCTTAATTTTGTAATGCCATAAACACTATGCAGTGTGTCGGAGCATACAGAAATGCTTCTTCTGAAGCCATAGGAGAAAACACCCTAGGCCATGACCTTCCCAATGAGGAGCTGCCATGTTGCAGCCCTGGTTCACGGGAGCATTCAGGGAGCATGGCCTTGGTCACTCCTCCCCACTCCCCCCCACACACATGATAGACTCTGGAGACAAAACGTTCTGGACAGCAACAGCACTGCCTACTTGGAAATCTGTAATGTAAATCAAGTCTATTAAACTGTCAAAACCTTACTTGTTTTGTGGTAATTTTTAGGATAATGTTACTCTGGGAGGGTGATATTAACTTTAATAAGAGTGCCCACACATGTGCAAACATACACAAGTACATACATGACAACCCCACTCACAGTCCTCAACTGTCCTGTCTTAGCAGGCATCGCACAAAAAGCAACACAGTCAAAATAGGAAAAATGGTGGCAGTGGTGGCTGAGAAATCAATCGGGTTGTATGTGAAGCTTAGCATCCCCCTAAATCTCTTCTTCCTAACCCGTGTGATGGCTCCAGTTTCACTAATGGCGGCCTTAAGTCTATAAACATATTTTATCTCTTTAAAGGAAATGGAAAGGGATCGCCATGTCTAGGGTAAGTGGTGTCTAAGGCCGTCAGCCGACCATGTATGAGAGCTTTATAAGCTGGAAGCCCCGAAAATGGTTACAGAAATTTATACTATGCCTTCTCTGGGAAGCACACCACATTCTCTCAGATTTGGTGATATGGAGTTACCCTTTGGTGTTGCTCGAGCCAGACCTGGTGTGACATAGTCAGAGAGGCTTTAGTAGCGGACAACTTTTTCTGTCAGGTAAACAATACACACTGCATATGGGTGTATACGCATTTACAATGTCGTTTCTTCCCTACTTGAAATAGCACTGAAGAGAAGAATCAGTTCCGGAAGAGCCGCATGACACTATAAGACACTATACAAAAGTCAGCTGGGGTTCGGAGGGGAAAAGCAAACTGAGGGAGTGCCAAGTGAATATTCTGTTATTGTGCTGATGGTTTGGGGAGAGATGGTTCAAGTGCATGCGCTTTCCTGATGGAATATGCATGTTTGTATATTCTCATTTATGAATTCTCTTACTGAGATGCACAACTCTTCAACATAATATGGAAAACTACTTAAAAGAACTCAGAAAAAAAGCTACATCGGCCACAGCTCTCCCACTTTCTGGGTTTGGTTTGTGCCCATTGTAAATTTCCTCACACACTCAAGTTAAATGATTTCCTAGAAACTTTCCACAGTGAAGATCTTCAGATCAATACCAACAAAGTTTCCAGTGTGAAAATTACCTTTCCGTTAGAGCCAAAGATTAATTTCCTCTTGTGTGAGCGAAATGACACGCCCTAGTAATTTTCATAGATTCTCTAAATAAAATGGAACATCCAGGCTTCGATGTGAAATTTGCTAAAAATGGCAAAAAAAAAAAAAAATAGACCACCAGAAACGTTTCTATTAATTCATGGAATTAAGAACAGCTTTTTACATTTTCTCCTGCCACTGATCCCATTTGCCTTATTACTTTCATCTGTGGCCTACAAACTTGGTGGCACAATCAGCAAACCCCTCAGTGGCTGCCTCATCTCGGCCCGATTTGATTTCTCCTCTCTGAGTAAATGATTAAGTTTTCATGCATTGGTTCAGCCAAAATCTATGTTCACTCAACCACATCCTTTATTGATTACTTCTCCAGCAAACACTAGGCCGAGTGTGATCTACATAATTGGACAGTTGTCAGGGGACATGGGCGTTAACAGTCCTGTTTTCCCAGTTGGAAACAGAAATCACCTTGACACACAAATATTCTGCCCTGTTTCGTTCTCATTCTTTGGACCGAGGAGCCCTGGTCCTCAGGATATATGTCTTTAAGTCTCTGAGGTCTGGTTGAGTGAATTTAATGATTATACCATATAATCTGATGTTGAAGTTGCACCTGTGCACTGCGTATAGGAAAACTGGAATTAATATTTGTCTAACATTTAACCTTGTCTTTGAACTTATATAAGTAATCGGTAGCCTTTCTCTAGGAAAAAAAAAAATGTTTTTCCCCCTGCCAAGGACAAACTAGCTTCTAAATCTGTGGTTGCCGTCCACATTTGGGAGCTCTTTCCACGCTGTATTGTTGGTATTCCAGCCACGGCACTGATAGCGTGGATTGCGGATAGGAGTGGAACATATCACTCGTTTTTAGACGACTTTCTCGAGCATTGCTTTAGAGAACTCCTGGATAAACTCCGGGAAGTCTGCTGCATGTCGGGGGCTGGAGAGAAGTTCAAAACACCCTGTATTCACTGTATTTACACCATTTTGGGTGGTTTTTTTTACCAAACTTTTTTTTGTACTGCTGTTTGAGTATGGTATGAATTAACTATCCTCTGCAGGCCAAACCTAATGTAAACTACA